GGACCCTGGTTTTGATACATCAGGATTTCTCTCTTGTTTACACTTTTAAAACAAATGATATGATATTCAGTGGATGGCATCCTCCGAGTCTAGGGTATTTCTGATCCCTAGACCCTCAGTGAATAACACATAGCCATAGTCTTCTCCCAAGCTCATTGTGAGCAAGTCCAGCTGGTTTATCTTAGACACTCTTACCTTTGCCTATTTTCCAGGCAATTGGGATGTTTCTCAGGCAGAACCAATATGTTCAGGGTCTTTACTTTGGGTCTTTGTCTTGCATAAAAGGACACTGAACACCCTGTTGTTTACAAATTGGGGTTATGCGCCCGAGCGCACACCAGTGTTTGGGGCTCTGTTGCCTTGCCTTTGTGCTGAAGCTTGCTACTTTTCTACCCTCTTTAGTTCAGCACCCTCAGACTTACCTCTTTCTGGTGTATCCATTACCTGGCCTTTACAGCCAATCACAAAAGTTGCATATGAATCTGGAGGCTGTCATTGGATCACTAGCTGGACCCAGAAGAGACGAAACACTACTTTGATTAATTAGATAGAGAAGGACCCAGAGCCTTGGCTGGTTTCTTTTTACTGTCACATCCCTGATTATACAAATGACCATGATACACACAAAAGTCTTTCCAGAATTTTTCACTTGTCTGCCCCCTTTTTCACATTAGAATATTTTACTTTTTGGTTCATGTTGAAATCAAAAATAGCATTTATATTATCTCATACAGGAAGATTTTTTTTAAAAGAAAATTTTGTGCTGATTTATAGTACATTGAAATTGGTCTGTACTTTGCATCTATATTTAAGTAAATCTGGGGGGAAATCTTTTATTAGGGGCATTATAAAGCTCTTTGTTTGGAAGAGCCTTTATGACACCCCAAAGATGATTGTTCCCTTCTGTGGACACTGTCTCAATCACTAGCCTAAGATGTTTCACACTCTTCTCAGGTTCCTGAACAAATTTTTATCCTATAAAGGCCTGGTGATGATAGCTTTAAAGATAAATGGGTGAAGATTATCACAATTTTGGGTTGCCATAGACCAGCCCTAACCAATGACCTAAGAATGAAAGGCACTGAGGCCCTTACCTCCTGTAGGCTGTTAAATGCTCGNTTTGCACAGTTTCTATATGCAGAAGTTTCAGTTGACATGGTACCGTGCAAAGCAAGGACTTCTGCATTTACATAAGTATGTATAAATGTATGTATGTATGTTTGTGAGCATGTATTTATTTTTATTTTTGAATATGTTTATTTTTCAGGTATTTGAAAATGGTAAAGACACTGGAGAGACCTCTGTTTATATCAGTAAAAAAGATTTGGGTTCTAATAGCCCAACTCAAACTGGAAATATGGAGAGAGTAAGTTTACCACCTGATTATTTAGGACTATAAGTGTCTTCCAAGTTACTTGTAGTTAATTTAGACAATTACATGTTCAAGTTGTTTACAAAAGATCAATCATTTGCTGATCTGTAAAGGGTGACATTACAAAGCTTGACTTCTGAATTCCTTAGGCTCTCAGCTTTAGTACAGTGTTAACTCCTGGACCTTTACCTAACAGCATCTTAACCTTCATCGTGCTTTTATTTGGAAATCTGTTTTACACGGGACCCTGGTTTTGATACATCAGGATTTCTCTCTTGTTTACACTTTTAAAACAAATGATAT